TGGAGCTAGGGACAGTACTCAATGTGAATAGTAAGACAAGTCCTGGAAATTCATTCAGTTGAAGATCTCGATATGTTGCTAGAGTAGACGTTGATATGTGCAGGAGAGCAGTTATGGATGTAAGGAATAGAGCAGAAAAATGTATTTTAACCAATTGTGGGCATTTTGAGTAGAAAGACCATAAACATGTATTTGTATCAATATTCTATATCATTTTTGTAATTGTAAACCATAATTTTCATATATTGAAATAAAATATGAATATGCAGTATTAATTTTTTGTTTTACCTATTACAATGACAATTTCAATTTTCAACCAAGCCAACATGACAAACTTCAAACGGTTAATACTTCCTTAATTTTAGTGCTACATACCTCTAATTGAAATCATTCGATCGGAAATGGTCCAAAGATATAAAAAATGTACAATTTTTTAAAAATTGAACCATGGCGAGTGCTACAATGTCTTAAAGAGCGTTTTTTGGGACACCCTGTATTAGGGTTGAATTTAAAAAATCCCTCGATATGAATTTTGTCAGTCCCATTTAGCCTGAAAGGGAGTTTAAAGTGTACAAATCATGTAAATGTTCACAAATTATAAGCAGTAGAGTACATTAATACAGTATGTTCCCTATGACTATCCATTTCAATTTCGAATTTTTTAAAGCTGTTTAATAAACTTTATAAAATGAATTAGGTGAATAAAAAACATCATTTGATTTATAGTTATAACGGAAAATCATCGTTTGTAAAGTAAAAGGCATAGAGTCTATGTGAAATGATCATTGGTCAATTATGAAACCAGCCTTTTTCATAATTTGGTTTTCTTTAACTTTAATTTTAGATTTTCTATAAAATGATNGATAGATAGATAGATAGATAGATAGATAGATAGATAGATAGATAGATAGATAGATAGATAGATAGATAGATAGATAGATAGATAGATAGATAGATAGATAGATAGATAGATAGATAGATAGATAGATAGATAGATAGATAGATAGATAGATAGATAGATAGATAGATAGATAGATAGATAGATAGATAGATAGATAGATAGATAGATAGATAGATAGATAGATAGATAGATAGATAGATAGATAGATAGATAGATAGATAGATAGATAGATAGATAGATAGATAGATAGATAGATAGATAGATAGATAGATAGATAGATAGATAGATAGATAGATAGATAGATAGATAGATAGATAGATAGATAGATAGATAGATAGATAGATAGATAGATAGATAGATAGATAGATAGATAGATGCCAAGGGAGGTTGATTCAAAGCAAGATAGGTGGATAAATTACAAATTCTAAAGATATTGCCATAAATTGTATTGACAAGCAAATATACATAATATATAGATAATGTATAATACTATCTCTTCAATTTAGATAAAACTAACATTAAAAAAGATAAGAACTCAATCTGGAATTGAGAACTGTGCCCCCCTCCCCGTCTCTGACATTTTACTCCATGCAAGCCATCTCAAAAATCATTGAAGATGTGATTTCAAGTACATCTCTCCCCCCTAGAAACCCTGCAACTTTAACATTGAAGTTTCAAGTACAGCTCTCCCCCTAGAAACCCTGCAAATTTAACATTGAAGTTTCAAGTACAGCTCTCCCCCCTAGAAACCCTGCCACTTTAACATTAAAGTTTCAAGTACAGCTCTCCCCCTAGAAACCCTGCCACTTTAACATTAAAGTTTCAAGTACAGCTCTCCACCTAGAAACCCTGCCACTTTAACATTAAAGTTACGAAAGCTTAATTAAACAAAAGTATACTTATAAAAAAGACAATTTATAATCCAATCTACAGTTTAAACCTAATATTATGCTAATACGTTATTTCTTAACTAGCGTTACTGGTAGCATTTTATGAGTGTAGCGTTTTTCTAGTATGATCCAGCTCTCCATAAGTGGCAAGACTTATTCACTGAGGTACCTTAAAAAGTTTTGTCTGGTCTAGAATACATGAGATATCCATAATCCTCTCTTTGAAAATTTACTATTGTCAATTGTGGTTTCTCCATACAATATCTTGCACATTCATGATTCAGAATAATTGGAGAAAATTGTCAGAATTTAACACTTTTCAATCTAGAGAAACGATGATATCTTCCACATTAATGATCAGATAAAGTTGTGAAAGGTACTGTTGTGAATATGACATGTTTTTTCTTAAATGGATAGTCATCTTCAAATATAAAGTTAGCCCAAATTTAGGGCTGATAAGTTTTTTTAGATTGAAAAAATAAAAGAGATTGTAAAAAAAAGGATTGTTCAAAAAAAAATTTTTTTCTTCAAACCCTTCTTGGGAAAGTTGTTGGGTGTAAAGATTCCTTTCTACAATTGTTTAAATGTTAAATAGCGGATCTTAAATTCTTCTCTAAATTTTTCCTTATTTAGAGACTGCATATTAAAGGTAGGAAACTAGGCATAATAAATGTTAGATAGATAGTTAGATAGATATGAGAAAGATAGATGGATATGAGTAGAGCAAAGGGTCCGATTTTCTAGTTTGAACTGGCCTGAGGCTACTGCCTTAAAATGCTTGTAAAATATAAAGCATGCAGGGGTCATTCTACTCTTACAAGGTGAAGGGATTGTAGAAACATAGTAATATTTTTTTTAAATTTCGAATTTACTTTTTAAAATTTTTTTTTTATATATAATTGAAATTTTTAATTTAAAAAAGTTAGTCTCCAGTTTGCTTTTATGCGTTTAATGAAATGAAATTAAAAAGGTTTTTATTATGGTTCAGCATGTAAGAAGTTAACTAATTCAAGGTTTCATTATATGCAATTAAAGGTACTAAATTTAGTCTAGTAATTAGAATCATTGAAGGAGATAATAATAGTTAATACATGCATACAATTTATAATCCAAGGAAATAACAAATAGCAGGAGATTTCAAATAATAACCAAGAAAATTATATTTCAAGAAGTATCTATACATCATAAAACCAAATACTAATCAAGAAAATTAGATGGAAAGAAGTATCTATACATTATAAACCAAATACTAATCAAGAAAATTAGATATCAAGAAGTATCTTTATATTATAAAACAAAATACTAATCAAGAAAATTAGATATCAAAAAGTATCTTTATATTATTAAAGCAAATACTAATTAAGAAAATTAGATATCAAGAAGTATCTATACATTATAAAACAAAATACTAATCAAGAAAATTAAACATCAAGAAGTATCTATACATTATAAAACCAAATACTAATCGAGAAAATTAGATATCAAGAAGTATCTATACATTATAAAATAAAATACTAATCAAAAAAATTAGATATTAAAAGTATCTTTACATTATAAAACTTAATAATAGCCAAGAAAATTATATATAAAAAAGTATCATATAAAACATAAAAAAAATAGTGTTATGTCGTCTTCATAATGAATTTAAGTTATCAAACGTTATAAACAAGAAAACAACAGAAATATCTGCATTTATAAAAACTATATGTCTAAGTTTTTTTTAGGGAAAATTTTTTAATCTTTAACCATGAGAGTTGCCACAAAAAAATTGGGCCCGATCGGTTCAGCTGTTTTTAAGTTTATTTGGTAAAAACTACAAATGAACAAAAAAGCGAAATATTTAAACAAATTAGGCGTACAGGGCGCTTTAACTTTTCACTGTTGCTCCATTGATCTGCGGGATTTTTAAAAAGTTTTTTACTGTGAATTTTTTAATTCTGATTATTAGAAACCTTCTCTGGAATTATGTCAGGTCCTATAAAAAATGTGGGTCCGATCGGTTCAGCTGTTTTGACGTTTATTGGATGCAAACAAACAAACAAAAATTGAAATATAAATACAAACTAGTCTCCCAGTGCGCTTCGTGCCCATCTTTGATTTTAACTTTTAATTAAATTGTTACCATATAACAAATATTTCTCCACGTTGGTGACTTATCATCCGGGCCACTTTCTGTCCGACCTATAGCTATATACAAAAGAGCTAATACGTTGTCTTGTTTATAGGCCGGACTACTTGCAGTCCGAGCTTAGTTCGGGTCCGTATGAGGACTGATGGGGTTACATCAATAGAACTATCCACTCTGAGTTTAGCTCCGGGTTCGTTTAAGAACTAAATGGTTTAAATCAATGGAACTATCCCTATTCCGAGCTATTGAGCTCACAGGCTCACATTGGTTACATTTTAGCTCCAGGTCCGTATGAGGACTAAAAGCGTTATAAAATATTGTACCATCTGCGGCAATTTTCATTTTTTCCGTGAATTTAAAAATCGAAATTTGTAAGGCAATATTAAATTCTAACCATTCATACACCTTCCCGGGTCATGTGAGGTCCAACAAAAAATGTGGGCCGGATCGGTTCAACCGTTTTGACGTTTATTGGATACCAACAAACAAAACAATGCCCCCCCTCCCCTCCCCAGTTCTCCTTTCCTCTGCAAATATTTTATTATAAACTAACAAATATAAGGTAATAGCCAATAAATTCTTAATATCTCTTTATAAAAAAATGACAAAAAATTTGCTGACCTTTAGATACTACCAGACTTTTATGGCGCTTCACGCTCATTTTTTATTTTAATTGTAAACATTTTCTCTTTGTTTACATGTTAAAATAAAAGCAAACAAAAATTTCGCGGATTTTATAAAACAAATTTCGTGAATTTCTAAAATTTTAAAAATCCAATTTTTGGAAGTTCGATCATCTGCAAACTCTCCCTGGGGTCACGCGAGGTCCCACTAAAAAATTGGGCCTGGATCGATTTATTCGAATGTAAAAAATGTAATTTATTCGAAATAGATAGAAAAAAAAACTAAATCAGATTCCTGATTCTAGATGGTGTAAACCTTTGATCTACTAGAACTCATAAACTGAAATATTAAAGGTCTAAAACATATCAGGTTGCAAAGAAAAAAACGATTCAAAAATTAGTGTTTGAGACAAGTTTTCAGTTCTTTTTAAAACTCTCTCTCAATAAAAAATCAAATAAAAAATTATTAATTTATTGCCAATTTAACATTAAATGTTCACATTTATAAAATTTGTTTAAAGCTTGTGTATTTAACGTGATATGAAACAAAATGTGGGAAATTTGAATATTTTTGACTTGAAGCAAAAAGCTGTTTGTGAAAATACATAGAGAGATAGAAAACCATTAATTTAATTTTTTAAATTTCTAAAGAAATTCAAAATTTAAAAAGATATTTTGCAACTTTAACTGTTTGATTTTTCCAGTCTTCAGTTTTAAAAAGTTTCGTTGGCATGTTTTTTTACGATGGGTCATTTCCATTTTTGGTTTAATTAATCACCAAGATGATTAAAAGGAAGGTAGGGAGGAGAGGAGTTTACATAAAGACCCATCTGAACCCTGTAACCAAGGTCATGAAGAGGAAGGTAGGGAGAAGAGGGGTTTACATAAAGAATCCTCTGAACCCTGTAACCAAGGTCATGAAGAGGAAGGTAGGGAGAAGAGGGGTTTACATAAAGAATCCTCTTAACCCTGTAACCAAGGTCATGAAAAGGAAGGTAGGGAGAAGAGGGGTTTACATAAAGAATCCTCTGAACCCTGTAACCAAGGTCATGAAGAGGAAGGTAGGGAGAAGAGGGGTGTACATAAAGAATCCTCTGAACCCTGTAACCAAGGTCATGAAGAGGAAGGTAGGGAGAAGAGGGGGTTACATAAAGAATCCTCTGAACCCTGTAACCAAGGTCTTGAAGAGGAAGGTAGGGAGAAGAGGGGTTTACATAAAGAATCCTCTGAACTTTGTAACCAAGGTCATGAAGAGGAAGGTAGGGAGAAGAGGGGTTTACATAAAGACTCCTCTGAACCCTGTAACCAAGGTGATGAAGAGGAAGGTTATAGGGAGGAGAGGGATTTACATAAAGAATCCTCTGAACCCTGTAACCAAGGTCATGAAGAGGAAGGTAGGGAGGAGAGGGGTTTACATAAAGAATCCTCTGAACCCTGTAACCAAGGTCATGAAGAGGAAGGTAGGGAGGAGAGGGGTTTACATAAAGAATCCTCTGAACCCTGTAACCAAGGTCATGAAGAGGATGGTAGGGAAGATGGTTGATGTACTGTTACAATAATCTGTATCACAAACTATCTTCCAGTACATGCCTCGTCCCTACAGTAAATAAATATAAATATTAATTAATTTAAGACTTTAAAGTCGTCTTTGAATATAAAAATTGTTCGCAGCATTCATTATTAGCAATATAATTAACTTTAGAAATATTTTAAATTAAACTATAATCACAAAATAGCCTTAGTCCTGCCATTTCCAAAATGTTGTCGGCCATTTTTTGCTTTTATTATTTTCTGATATATAATGATTTCGTTCAGAATTAGACATTTTAATGATTTATTTAAGAAATTGAAACAAAATTCTTAACATCTCTGGTATTTTTGAAGAAAAAAAGTTACATTTTTGGAAAGGTCTCCAGAATTACACAATTTAATGTTTTTATATAAAAATTTTCTTTAATTACGCTTTGAAAAAGTTTTACTTTGAGCGAGAAGAAAACATTTTTTTTCTGTTTTAGTTTAGTTTGATATCTATAAAATATCACAAGAAATTCATATATATGTTGCGTATAGCCAGCCAAATGGCTGGACCGATTGGGCTGAAATTATATGTGGACACTAGGGAAAAAAATCGAAAACTTTTTTTTCAATTTTTTTTTCTTCAAAAATGTTCTCATTTTTTCCAAGGGCAACGCCGGGCCTTTCAGATAGTTTGTAATAAATAATATAACAAAAAGTTGTCATTACAATCTTACACTTGTTTGAACTTTCTTTTTAAAAATAACTAACTGAAGCGCCAGTCAAAAAAATTCAGCCAATTCAGTCCAGCCGTTTGGCCAGCAATGTCACCTTTCTGCTCCACAGTTTATGGGCCCACTGTATCATAAGTTAGATTAAACCCACTTTACCTTTTTCATTTCCATTGGGGCCATTGCCACTTCATCTGTACAACCTCCAGTGTACATAAACTGATCTACAACCTGGACAACAAAATCCACCCAATAAATTCTAGGAAATCCACCAAGTAAATACAAATTAGAAATCTTTATATAATGTACGAAGAAAAATGGCTGCAGCTTCAGTTACATTTAAATGCTAAAATTGGGGAACAAAGCTCTCAGAAGTGAAAACGTTTGTAATGTAAATCTCGGGATCAAGCATTGATATTCATGCAGAGGGATTATTTTAATCCCTTTTCGATATCCTATGGCGGTCATGCCCTGCAGGGATATTCCGTGGTGGGCATGTCCTGTTGGGGATTAAGCATTTATCCAAAAATTTAGAATTGCCCACATTGGGTAATGACATTAAATTTACTATTGCCGTACAGTGTACATAACTTGTCAAACGTACCCTGTACATGACGCCAACACACCGAGGCTTGAGTCCAGTACAGTTCCTCTCAACAATCGGTCCCTAGTGTACAATAATTCTTGCAGTACAGTACAGTTCTTTAACCTATAGGGTTACCCACAAAGGATGCAACTTCACAGACGATTGTACGGAATTATAAACTTGTTCTCTTTTTTACCAAATCAGTTAATGAGCCACAAACAGACTTTAGTGGCTCGTTAACAGAAGATTTATTTAACCTGCAGAGGTCGTTATATCTTAAAAGTTTCAAGTCGTCTTTACAGTCTCATCCTAACTGGGTAACTTATAATTCTGACCAAACTTAGATTTTTTAATCACTTTATATATCTTTGCATTTACTTTGGTGACCTTTGCTACTTAAAACTATGAATTCTGCCAGAGATGTTATCATACATTCATTCATTATGACAGCGTAAAAAAAGAAAACTTAAGATTATAATTATATGGAACCGTTAACGGTTTATCGTATTCGTTCAGAGGCCGAATTTAAACAATTTGAGCCGCGGTTTAAGTTTGAGAGGCGGCTCAAATATTGTTGGTTTCACTTAAAATTGTTTTCAATGTTTCAAGGTTTAAGGCGGTGCTCAATTGAAACCGGTTTTTGGCGGATTTGAGACACGGCTCAAATTCATTAAACTCGGACTTTGTTTCAGTAATGATGACCTAAAATTCCATAATTCTGAAGATCTGAAGTTTAAATCTAACTTTGTTCATTAGTATCTAGAAGGTTAACAGTTTAAATCTAACTTTGTTCATTAGTATCTAGAAGGTTAACAGTTTAAATCTAACTTTGTTCATAAGTATCTAGAAGGTTAACAGTTTAAATCTAACTTTGTTTATAAGTATCTAGAAGGTTAACAGTTTAAAGCTAAAAGGAAAAATCAATTTAAGAAAAATGACTCGGAAAATTCCGTATATAGTGGTCTCTGCAGTCTTATCCATTGTGATTAAGAGTAACCCTGTATAATGTATATCTTAATTTTTGATTTAGGTTATCGTCTTCTTACATGCAGTACAGAATCAAAAATCTCGAAAGATGATTTCAGATTGAATTAGGTTTTGATCGCTCCAAATTTCACTAAAGTTGCGTTATTCAACCCAATCCGTAAAAAAAGTAAATTAAATTTAAATTTTAAAACCAAAAAATCAGATATCTCAAGTCTCTCAAGTTATAAATGTCGACTTCAATTCGGAGCATCGTACGTATGGACTATTTTTTTGACTTTTCTATTGACGACGATTTTTGACCACAAGGTTTCCCCAAGTGAAATCCCCGAAATATCAAAAGCTAAACAACGACACTTACAGCTGTTTCTCTGTTGTAGATGAGTCTTTCATCAGTTGTATTGAGGCTGCTTGTCTGCCAGCACATGACAGCTAGACTGTATTCAAGACAGCTACAGATCAGGAATAGAGAGAGTAGACCGCGCATTCTTAACTAAAAGTAAACCTTAAAGGAACTGAGTTTTTGAAACAAACTCAAATTTTCTAATCCCTAAACCTTTGCAACCTGATGGTGTAAACCTATGATATTTCAAACGTATATTATTTGATCTAACAGAATTCATAGTTTGAAATATAAAAGAACTAATAATACATTGGTTTGCAAAGATATAGATTAGAAAATCAGAGAGAGTTTGCGTCAAAAACTCAATTCCCTTCATGGTTTGTCTCAGTTCATTGACATTCCAACCCTTATGCATTCAAAATCTCCAAGAAAGTTATACATTTTAATGACTTTATTAAGAACCAATAATTTTTTTCTCTTGTAACTAAAAGTTACGATTTCGAATTTCACAAAAAATAAACAGATTTGGAAAAATTACAACATATTTCTAGAACTAATTTTTACCCAAAAAAATAGGGTTTCTTAGTTTTAAGAAAAAAAATTTTTATTTCTTTATTAATATTTCTTTTATATCCAATAAGTAAATTTAAAAAATAGATTTTTATTTCTTAAAGTTTTTTTAAAATTTTTTATCCACGGGCAACGTCGGGCCCTCTAACTAGGCACCGATATTTGCCTGGATGGTCACTTGTTAAACTTTAAACTGATCTTATCATTTAACAATTTCTTTTTCCGTTTTTTTGTTTCGTTTCATAATTATTTTAACAAATGTTTAAGTCTAAATAGTCTAATGTCTAATAGTGGAAACAAAACTAAAGGTTATATTTTTAATTATAAATTAAAAAAACATGTTTTTTTAACGAAGAGGGTTAGTTTTCATCATCAGTTAATAGTTAAGCGACTGCCAACATATATTCAAGCATGACCCTTCAGAGTCCAGTTCGCAACGGTACTTCTAAACTTTAGTCTGAGCTTTTCCTTGTTGTTTTCTCTAATATTGATCAATTTCAATAATTTGCTTGTAAACACTATACATGGTTTTCAATTCAAAAACACATTAAATGCATTTATTTAATGACACGATTAAGAGCAAATCTAATAAAAATAAATACATCTTAGGGTTTACAGATTAAAAATCTTTATATTCATTACTTGCTGATGTGCCCGGCATTGCCCAGGTTACTCCCACCGTTTACCCGCGCTTGGTCTTAAATTATGAATTCAGCTGAAGTGCTCGACGTTGCCCGTTGAATTTCAAAAATAAACTTCAATCTTTAATCTGATCAATGATGAAGAAAATACCATCGTTTTATTTTGCTGTGAGTTTCTCCATTGTTTCCTTTTAGCAAGAAATTCGCAAATAAATTTCGCAGAGAAACCAGAGAAACATTGATATCTAATTCATTGATTAGATAAAGCTTTTAAGGGTATTGCCGGCATGTCCATTCTTTCATGAAGAGTGGCTTAAAATTAGGCGTACAGTCCCTTTAACAAAATTAGGCGTAAAGTCCCTTTTATAAAATTAGGCATACAGTCCCTTTAATAAAATTAGGTGTACAGTCCCTTTCATAATATTAGGCGTACAGGCCCTTACATAAAATTAGGCGTACAGTCCCGTTAATAAAATTAGGCGTACAGTCCCTTTCATAAAATTAGGCGTACAGTCCCTTTAATAAAATTAGGCGTTCAGTCACTTTCATAAAATTAGGCGTACAGTCACTTTCATAAAATACTACCGACCTGTTGCTTTGTTAAACAAGGAATGAGGGTTGTGATGGTTTATATTATATTATAGTTGCTAGGTTACTTATACACTAGCCTCCCCTTCTCTTATACATACATACATACATACTCCCCTTCTCTTATAAATACATACATACATACTCCCCTTCTCTTATAAATACATACATACATACTCCCCTTCATACTCCCCTTCTCTTATACATACATACATACATACATACTCCCCTTCTCTTATACATACATACTCCCCTTCTCTTATACATACATACATACTCCCCTTCTCTTATACAAACATACTCCCCTTCTCTTATACATACATATTACATACTCCCCTTCTCTCATACATACATAAATACTCCTCTTCTCTTATACATACATACATACATACACCTAAGCATAATAGCCACCCCTTCTTTAATTTACTCAAATCAAAAATGTAATGTTAGATGGGGTAATGTTCTCAAATACCTTCAATGTACAAAATGGAGTCAGACAAGGAGCAGTTTCTTCCCCTGTGCTATTCTGTATATATATTGACAAAGTTATCAAGATATTAGGCTGTTCAACGATTGGATGCCAAATCCAGGGTGTCTACTCTATATGGGCATCTGGGTATATGCAGATGATATTATTTTACTTTCTCCTAGCAGGAAATGGTGAAAATTTTGCCAAAGCTACTAAATTGAAATTTAGTACAAATATTCGAATCGAAAAATGTCAAACTAAATGCCTTATTTTTTCTAAAAAAAGGATTCATTATAATGAAATAACCCCAATTTTATTGAATGAATTACCTTTACCATTTGTCAACGACTTAAAACATTTAGAAAATGTTCTGCAAAGTGATAATTCAATGACCATAGATTGCAATAAAAAACGAGCTATTTTCATTTTAAAAATTCATTCCCTTAACCAAGAATTTTATTCTAACAGCCCTGGTGTTATTTTGAAACTGTATAAAATTTATTGTTCTAGTTTTTATGGATCTAGTATTTGGCTCTTGAGATCCCAATGTGTTTCAAAATTGTATACAGCATGGATTACTGCTATTAGAATTTTTAATGTACCTAGAGATACGTACGCATAGGTACTTGATTGAAAGTATTTCACAATGTTTACATGTAAAAACTATGTTAGCAAGCAGATGTGTCTTGTGACTATTGAAGCAAGTTCTAAGCTTTGCATTAGATTTCTTTCTAATTTATGTAAAAATGACCTTAACACAGTTCTTGGCAGAAATTTATTGCAAATGATTGTTATGTAAATCCTTCGGATCGTAGTAAAATGTTAGTTAAGAAACAAATGATATATGTTGATGTCCCATTGGAACATGCATGGAAAGTTCCGGTTTCGCAAGAACTTTTAAATACAAGAATGAATATATGTTGAAGGATTCGATGATTACGTAATAACTGAAGTGATAAATATGTTATGTAATGAGTAATAATCAATGTTGTCTATGTGTGCAAAATTTTGCATATTTTTCTCTTTTCTTTTGGAAACCTGTATATCTTCAAAAATTTATTTAAACAAATTTAAACTACACCATTTACCATATTATACTATATACATATCAAGACATTCATGTGCATAAATAAACACTTAGTCTCTTTTCCAGTCTCATACATGCATGTACATTGTACATACATTAACACCTTCCTCTTCTCACATCTGATGTACATACAACACATATAGCCTACCTAATAAAACTCATATTTTAATATAAAAGGCCTTAAACCTTAAATCCAGATTTTTGATTGACGCAATTTCTTGTTAACCCTATCCCCGCTGGGGTACTTGAAAACCAGGATACGCTGGGGGGGGGTCAAATGACCCCCCCCCTCTAAATCCCATGTTTGATGTCCAAATATGACAAATAATACATCATTGGAAAGCTCTTGTGCTCTACTTTTAGAATCTGCAAAAAAATTTGCAAATTTGCAAAAATTGTTTTATTGACGCAATTTCTTGTTAAATATAAAGTTTATTGACGCAATTTCTTGTTTCATGTTTTGATCCTGATATGTTTCCAAATTCCAACGGTTTCTTTAACGCTGAATGATTTTGTTAGCAATTCTCAAAAATTTTGCAAATCAAAACTTGTTTTCTGTACGTTTTTGCACAGAAATATGGAGATGTAAAACAAAAGAAAACTGAAAGAAAGGGCGTAATGTCGGCATATTTTTCAATATTTTAATTTTTAACCCTCTGCTTGAGAGTTTATTACTGTAATTAGGAAGAGGTGTGGCTAAATTGAGGACATTTTAATTAATTACAAGCCAAGTCTATACAATATGTAAACAAATGTGGGGCGGGGTGAAGGGCTTTCTGTATTATAGCGGATTAAAAATTGATTTTAATTATTTTCGACAAATTGCTAAAATAAAAAATTGTGCGGAATTTCCCAGACTTTCTACGTCCTACACCTTTACATTAATACGTTATTTTTATTTTAGCAATCTCATTTTTTATTCATAGTGAATTGNCTTAAAATTTAAAAAAATCTTAATACTGGTATGGATTGGTTGGATTGGTATTGTCAATCTGAACAACTTTGAGTTTCAGAAAAAATCATTTTTTTTTTAGAATATGTTCATAATTTTGGTACATAAATATGGGAATTAAGAGACGACTTGAAAGTCGTCTTTGATTTCTAATATTTGATGCACAGCAAAGAAAGTAAAACATCGAGGCTGTACGTCTGACGAGCTTTTTATAAAGTGGTCTTTATATACATACCTTTCTCGTATCTTAAAAATTAACGAAAATTAGGAAAATACAAAAATGGTAGACGACATTTTGAAAATCTCAAGACCGGGCGTTTTCGACATTAGATTAACCTGGAGTACTGCAAGAATTGTGGTCATGAAATAATGCCGCATGGATTAAAGACGATAGAAAAGTCTTCATTGAATTCACATAATTATTGAAACACCCTGTTAATACAGAAGCTTTAGAGCTTAGAAGCACCTGGACACAGCTATATGTGTGGCTTAAAGTTTATATTTGTTTATAAAACACAAGCAAGGAAATAGACAGAATTTATGGGAGATGGGTAGAGGAGTGGGATGTACAAGCTGGCGTGTGAAGGTTTAGAAATTACTAAAATATCTGAGTTATTATTATAGAAATGTCTTAACTACCTAACAGCCAATACTACCTAACAATAGAAATATAATTAAACAATTTCGGCTTTTTTTAAATTCTATAAATATTTTTTAACATTAAAGAATTTTGATTAGCTGAAGTAGAGTCGGATAGATTTTCCAGCTTCTCCCGGTTTCAACTAAACTGCATAGTATCGTATTCTCTTCTATTTTTTTCCAGCTTCTCCCGGTTTCAACTAAACTGCATGGTATCGTATTCTCTTCTATTATTTTCCAGCTTCTCCTAGTTTCAACTAAACTGCATAGTATCGTATTCCCTTCTATCGTTTTTCCTTGTTCAATTTAAGTTTTTGGTAAACAACTTCAGCTTAAGACAAATTCCAACATAAGACGCCCAACTCCTACTTTGTTTTTTCTTTTCTTTTTTGATATTTTCTTTCTCATCACCTGTCNCCCTCTCTGTTTTCGTTTCTTTTCTCCTCTCCCCTCCCTGTTTCGCTTGTCAGAGAGACTCAACTTACAACACCCGGCTATTCTTACTTTTTCTTAAACTTTCTATTTTTGGATGTTTTTTTCTTTTCTTTTTTTAGTTCCTTTTTCCTTGATCTCTTTTGTTTTATTCTTTTATTCTTTTTGTAATTATTTTTTGTTTTGTTTTAACTTTCTCTATTTTTTGTCTTTTTTTTCTTCCCCTCTTTTTTGTTGGGTTTTGGTTTCCATTTCCGGATTCCCGGTCTGTTTCCTTCTCATTTCTCAGGTTTACTAAGTTTTCCTTCTTAACCTTTTATGTTTGGTTTACTGAGTTCCCTTCTCATCCCGATGTTATACCCATAGAGAATAGAATATATATTAGAGGGGAATTTACTAGAAAAAAATGTAAAACGGCCATTTTGTTGTACTGTTTCCATACTGCAGGTGTACTTCACATATTTGTGCTTTATAACCTTTTGGGCCCGGGAACATCATTTTATAGAAAATCTAAAATTAATATTAAAAGAAAATCAAATTATGAAATAGGCTGGTTTCATAATAGACCAATTATCATTTCACATAGACTCTATGCCTTTCAGTTTTCAAACGATGATTTTCCGTTATAGCTATAAATCAAATGATGTTTTTTATTCGCCTAATTCATTTTATAAAGTTTATTAAACAGCTTTAAAAAATTCGAAATTGAAATAAATAGTCTAAGGAACATACTGTATTTATGTACTCTCCTGCATATAATTTGTAAACATTTACATGATTTGTACAACTTGGACTCCCTTTCAGGCTGAAAGGGACTGACAAAATTCATACCGAAGGATTGATTAAATTCACTCTTTGATTATATACCACATCTTACTGGCCCATGGTGTTGCAATTCGCAAAGAAAAATCTAAAAATATTAGAATGCAGAAATTATAATTGTTGTACATGCAGTCAGCCCAAAAGGATGTTATCTTGCATAACTAGGGCTGACGCCCTGAGTTTAAAATGTATATTTATTAGGGACATTTAAAAGAAACCTAAGTGCATCTAACTAGGGGTGTATAGAGTTAAATTAGATGCTTTGAGTTCTATAGTTATATACAGGTGGGCAGTATGTTTAGCATAATTACATAAGTGTGTGTAAAGAGAGGCGGGGAGGGGAGGGGTGCGTATATAAGAGAAGGGGAGAGGGGGGGATATGTAATGTATGTTTAAGTTTTTGGAAACAGATTCTTTTAGTGCACTCTAGTTTGATGGGGGAGGGTGACATGAGCTTGACACTGCTAAAAATAAACCTTAATTTTTTCATCAAGAGAAAGGAACGAGTAGATTATTAATAAATGAGAGAAATATTACTGGAACATGAGAATAAGTGAAATCTGAAACTTTAAAAACTCTACTTTTTCTCTTATTTTAAGTAAATTATACATTATTGAATATTGATCCTCTAAAACTGTTGAACAAAATTTCCCGATTAAAATAATAATTTATAATTTTTTTAATTCTCCTTCCATCTTCATTTATTCATTTAGTCTAAGAGTTTAAAAGTTAAATTTAAAGGGACTGTAAGTGTTATTTTAAGTTTATACCATTAAAACCATTGTTTTATCAAGTATGTTTATAATTTCGAAAACTAATTATTTTCAATTCTGGTTTCTGCAAAAGTGACTTGCACATTTCTACTGCAGGAATTATCAGGATTAAAAACTTTTAAACTTAGAAAAACTACTTTTTCTTCCACATTAATGATCAAGATGAAGGTTTCATGAAAACCGTTGTTCCACTACCCAATACCCATGGGTACCCTGAAAAAATGTCCGCCAATTTGCACGGTCAAGCCGTTATATATGAATATTAGCGGCGAGCTTTTTTATACGGTCATAACCAGAAAACTCTGAAATAGGAAGACGACTTTAAAGCAATACGTATGTGCATTACTTATAGTTTTACTTGATTAAATCACAAATCAAGTGAAATGGGTCTGTTTACACTCATGGACTATCTAAAGTCAAAATTTAAGTTTAAAAGTCGTCTTCCTATTCCAGAATTTTCTGGTTATACCTGTATGATCTCAGTACTTGTGAGATTATGTGAAATAGGAAGACGACTTTACAATTTTAAAAAGTTTAAAAAAGAACATCAAATTTTGAATTGCAGTACATATGTACTACAAGACCCATTTCTCTTAATAAGTATATTTTCCAGCTACTGATGAACATCAGAAAACATAAAACTGCATAAATGTCGTCTTCTTATTCCACATTTTTTCAATGTACTTTCAAATATATCTTCTAATTTAAACAATTTGATTGGATATATGTGATAGTTTACTTTCGAACCCATTTTAAATCGTCAATTAAAAAATACCATATTTTGTGTTAAACTTATTTATTTTATTGTATTTACATTAGATCTTATATGTTTGGTTTCATACAAACATATAGGGAGCTGGCCAGGCATATTTATAAATGTATTTGTCTGTGGCTGGGGGGTGGGGTCCGACTCATTTGGGGGCTCTGTGAATACCATTGCTAAGCTTTGAATTGAGAGACTGAAACATGTTTACTTGACTATATGGATTAAACCAGTAGCTCTGAAAACTGCGAAGAAGTGGATGAAAATGTTGAAAGTACGGTAGTGGTACTTTTGATCTTGAAGAATATGGGATTGGGGGAAGGGGCGGAAGAGGGGAAAAAAATGGAAATGGGAAAGCATATGGGAGTGGGGGAAGAGGAGGGATAAATGGAACGGAAGAATATGGGAGTGGGGGAAGCGGAGGAATAAATGGGATGAGTTTCTGTTCCAAGTCGTCTTCGTTCTGTGAACCGTCATCATCTTCTGAAGAGTTTCCCGCGGCATTTGCAGAGATAAGACGCTGATTGGCTTCAACGTGGGCTAAAGCATGCTCGTACTTTGCCTAAAATTAAAATCATATTAAATTCACAGCTATGATACTCAATTTTTCCATCTTGGAGAGACAAAGTTTTTTAAATATTGGTAACCCAGCTTTACGTACAAATACGTCAACCTACTCAACTTGAACTTTTAACCTAAGCTAAGAACGTTTTCGTGACTTTAATTAACAATTAAAATCTAAGGCAAATCGGGCATACAAACAAACAGAGATCACTTCTTTAAATACATATATACTTGTTTCTTGTCCAACAAAATTTTGGCTCAGTCCTGTCGTTGATCTCCCCCCCCCATGGTCACTCCTTTTAAAAAAAGAGCAACTTCCCGGGACAAAAAAAATTTTAAAATTGCAAATTCCAGCAAATGCATTATTTCTTAACATGTTTAAAGAATAAGGATTTCTTGCTTTTTTCAAATCTAGGGTATTTTTTTAATCTTGCCAATTTTGAAACAAAAAAACTGTTTCATTTTTGTGATATTTTCGTTTTAAAAATAGATATAGAAAGCTTATTGGGTGTTACTGAATTTCTAATAATCCCAAAAATAAAATCAATAAAAAACGCATCTATTGACCACTTAGTACAGAGTTCAGTTTTTACATTTTCTTACTTTAAGCCTGAGAAAATTTAGGAAAAAAATTATATTTTCTTTAACAGCATAGCCCTGCCTATGAATCACATACGTTGCAAATTTCAGCTCAATAAGGGCACAGCATCCAATAAAAACGGAACAAAAATGCAGTGATATTTGGTCAATGGGTGGTTTACTAACAGGGTTTTTAACGCTGCGGCCTCATTTGACTGATCTGACTGTAATTTTAGGGGACCCTCCCATATATGACTAGACCTCGGTTATATTAATATTTCAAAAAGATCGGAGCATTGTTTTTTGGTCTGCCCTTCAGTCGGAAGTTGAGCCAACATCCGATTCCGGCCGCTTAAAACTTCAGGAAAAGAGTGACTCTTTGTTTGGAGAATGAACATGTTCTAAAATAATCATCTGATTCTTTTTGTAAACAAAACCTCCCATAATATGTTATTGATAATTGAGAATACATAAGAAAATATATTTCTCTTTTCCTTGCAATAAGAAAAGAATCAATGCTGACAAGATTAAAAAAAACACCCTGTATCAAATTTACAATTTGTTTTGTCATCCTTGTAGCCCATGCCCAGCCCAAGCCCAAGCCCAGGAAACCAACAAAGCCAACAAAACCAAACAATATATTTTGTCACATATACCCCAGAGCCCAAAACTTAAGACAGGGTATCGTTCTGAAAACTAGTTCTAAAACCCGGGTTTCACGAATGGGGTTAGGCAGTTTTAAGAATATTAATATTTTTGTTATGAAATATTATTTTATTCAGTTTGTTTATATTCTCAATTTTTTTTGATTCTCTTAAATCAAAATCTACACAAATGTTTAGACCCCAAGAAGGAAACTCGGGAGTTTTGTTCAACGATACTCTTTTAAATTTCGGGCTCAGCATTATAAATTAGTGTATATATATGCTACGACATCATAAATCATTAATAGAGAGAAGCTAAAATTTTCAAAGAGAAAGTAATGGATATCTCATGCATTGCGTCTATTCTCTACAGTCCCTGACGAAGTTTTACCTGTAAAACCTGTGGAGTATCTTGAACCCCTAGAGCAGAAGAGAAGAGAAGAAGAAGTAGGAACATATCTGTTGGATAGATTGATCTAGACTCAACATATCTTCCTGGCTAACACGGCCAACTATAGAGGGATAGCTTGCGGTCACTCAGACCTACTCAAAACCAGCCACCCACCCCCCCAGTCTACCCCGCCCATTCCATGAACTGTAATATGGTGTTGCGCACTTTTGTGTGTGTGTGGAGGGGGGGGGGGGGGTTATAAAGCAGAATAAGGGAGGGATTGTGAAATATATAATCTGTGTTTCGATTCTACCGGGTGTCTTACAAAACATAATTATATATGCAGTGGTTATAAATTCTCCTTATCCTCCTTCATCCCTCCGTTTCCCCTCCCATAATTCCTCCTTCATCCCTCCTTTTCCCCTCACATAATTCCTCCTTCATCCCTCCTTTTCTCCTCCTATAATTCCTCCTTCATCCCTCCTTTTCCCCTCCAATAATTCCTCCTTCATCCCTCCTTTTCCCCTCCCATAATCACTCCTCCATACCACCTTTTCTACTTCCATTATCCCTCCTTCAATCCCTCCTTTCATCCTTTCATCCTTTCAAACCTTTATAAATTCCATCCTTCCAAACCTACATTCATCCCATCCTTCCAAACCTACATTCCTCCCATACTTCCAAACCTACATCTATCCCATCCTTCCAAACCTACATTCCTCCCATACTTCCAAACCTTCATCCATCTAATCCTTCCAAACCTGCATCCATCCCATTCTTCCAAACCTACATTCATCCCATCCTTCCAAACCTACATTCATCCCATCCTTCCAAACCTACATTCATCCCAGCCTTCCAAACCTACATCCATCCCATTCTTCCAAACCTACATCCATCCAATCCTTCCAAACCTACACTCATCCCATCCTTCCAAACCTACATTCATCCCATACTTCCAAACCTAGATCCATCCCATCCTTCCAAAACTACATCCATTACATCATCCCCCCTCATTCCTCCTTCAACCCCCCCCCCCAGGTTCTTCAACCCTGTACGTAGTCCTAAAATATTGTAGAATGTATATGCACCAACGTTAGCATAAATTTTAGTTAACTGTTTAAAATGTTTGACCAAAAATGTTAAATGACTGCTTTTAAACTTTCGCTACTGCATTCGTTAGCCTTGCCACTGACACAGGGGGAAATTTGCATTATTGGGAGAAGGGGGGGGGGGAATTTATACACAAGAGTGTATTGTGAGGGGGAAAATTTGAAAATGTGACATGAAAAGGGCCTTACATAATACATAATACATTTCCATCGTCTTTGATCTTTGAAATAGTTTGCGGCATTTGTAAAATTTTAAAAGATGTTTTTTGTCACATTTGTTTAATTTTCAATTTTTTCGTTTGCGTCGAAATCGCCAAACAAGTCACAGTAGCTAATAACTATGAAAGTATAATAAAAATAAAATGTATTTATCTTTAATAGATAGAATAGAACCATGTAGATAGTTTGATAGACAGAATAGAACCATGTAGATAGTTTGAAAGATAGAATAGAACCATGTAGTATAGTTTGATAGATAGAATAGAACCATGTAGTATAGTTTGATGGATAGAATAGAACCATGTAGATAGTTTGATAGATAGAATAGAACCATGTAGTATAGTTTGATAGATAGAATAGAACCATGTAGATAGTTTGATAGATAGAATAGAACCATGTAGTATAGTTTGATAGATAGAATAGAANGATAGATAGATAGATAGATAGATAGATAGATAGATAGATAGATAGATAGATAGATAGATAGATAGATAGATAGATAGATAGATAGATAGATAGATAGATAGATAGATAGATAGATAGATAGATAGATAGATAGATAGATAGATAGATAGATAGATAGATAGATAGATAGATAGATAGATAGATAGATAGATAGATAGATAGATAGATAGATAGATAGATAGATAGATAGATAGATAGATAGATAGATAGATAGATAGATAGATAGATAGATAGATAGATAGATAGATAGATAGATAGATAGATAGATAGATAGATAGATAGATAGATAGACAGACAGACAGACAGACAATAATTATCAAAGTCATGTCCATTGCAATTTGTCTTGTTAGACTTTAAATACAAAAACTAATGATACACTTGTTTTTGCAATATACAAAACCACAATTGAAATATCTGTAAAACCGCAACAATTAATATAAACTTGAAACAAAACGTCCTTAATTGATACTTCTAAAATAAATGGGGAAAAACAAGAATGTTAATGAACAAACAGGCATATTTATCATTTCTTATCAAATTAGCAAAAAATAGTTTGCAAAATCAGAAAGAAAATATTAATAGTACTCTTTATAAATTAAAGGCGTAAATTAAATTTGAAAAGCATTTAAATATATGGCATCGAATCTAAAATAAAGTCCCTGAAATAGAATAAAAATTAAAACTTTAGCCAATCAATTTGACCAAATCCCAAATAAAAAAAGTGGCATGATGTGTCTCGAATTTGTATTATATATATTACAAATAAGAGGTGAACAAAAGCCAAGATTCATACCAATATTAATATGTTACTGTTAACATAAATTGATATAATACGTTAGATATGCATCTAAATATATACTTTGCTTGTTTGTCTGGGTGTTTGTTTGTAATAAACGTCAAAACGGCTGAACCGATCGGGCCCTTAATTGTTTTGGTTTACGGATGATCGAATTTCAAAAAATTTCCCTCTAACAAAATTCGATTTTTGAAAATATTATAAAATCCACGATTTTTTTTTATAAATTCTGCGAAATTTTTGTTTGATTTTGTTTTAAAATGTACACAAAGAGAACATAGTCACATTTGAAATAGAAGATGGGTGCAAAGTGCCCTAAAAGCCTATCTATATTAAATAGTTTTAAATGATACTTAATATCAGACTCATTGGATTTTTTCTTTCGCCGGTGATTGGTTTTTTGTCATTTTTCTTTTTTTAAGCAATCAAGTTTCATTAGTAATTACACCGACCCAAAGCTAGCTTAGTAAATAGTTATCAAACTGACTACAACCCCTTTCATTTTACCTGACCACTCGATCCTTTAAATGGACTGTTAGCTTAATTTCAAGTGACCCTCCATTTAAAGTATAGCAATGGTATTCTCATAAAAGATTTCTCTGATCAAGTATGAATTAGATATCAATGTTTATAATTTTGAAAACTGATTATTTTATTTTCAATTTAGATTTTTCTGCAAATTTGATCTGCGCATTTCTACTGCAGGAAATATTTTTAAGGGTACCGTTGTAAATCGGGCATTGCCATATTTGCATGGAGTATCTCTTGAAATTACGCTTACAAATAATATACAGTCTTTTTTAGTGGCATAATTTATTATCCAGGAGCCTAGGAGAGGGAGTTTATTGCCATTAACTACTTGTATCTTGAGGCCGAAGTTAACTAGGCAAAATCATACCTTTTCTACACCTGGAGAGAGGGATGCAAGGTGAGGAGGGTTTGCGAAATTTTACGCAAAAAAATGCAGCTTTCAAATTTGCAAACATGTAGAAGAAGAAAAGATGTGTATAGAAGAAATCCTATCGATGTACAGTTATAACCATAAAACTCTGGATAGAGGAAGACGTTTTTAAACTTAATTTATGACTTTAAATAGTTCAATGAACACGAAACACACCAATGTACCAGTTGCAAACAGATCAATTTCACTTAACAATAGAATTAATAATTAACTTGTAGTATAACTATTTTGATGGAATGCATGAAGGATTGGAAGGATAGGATGAATGTAGGTTTGGAAGGATGGGATGAATTTAGGTTTGGAAGGATAGGATGAATGTAGATTTGGAAGGATGGGATGTGTTGAGGATTGGAAGGATGGGAAGAATGTAGGTTTGGAAGGATAGTATGAATGTATATTTGGAAGGATGGGATGTGTTAAGGATTGGAAGGATGGGAAGAATGTAGGTTTGGATGGATTTAGGTTTGGAAGAATGGGATGGATGTAGGTTTGGAAGGATGGGATGGATGTAGGTTTGGAAGGATGAGATGGATGTAAATTCAAAAGGATGAGATGGATGTAGGTTTAAAAGTATGGGATGGATTGAGACAAACGGAAACCATAAATAAAACAAAATGTACGCAATTAAAGGAATTAAAAACAAAAAACAGATGAATGCAGTTGATGCTTCCTCTCCATGAAACAACCCACTCGAAACATACCCCCCCCCATACCACCACTACCAACAAATTAATCAATACTTATGATTAAATAAGTGATAAGTAGCATATTATGTCCTGGTAAGGAGATAAAGTGATCTGATAAGTAGCATAGTCCCTCTAAGGAGATAAAGTAATAAGTAGGATATTATGTCCCGGTAAGTAGATAAAGTGATAAGTAGGATATTATGTCCCGCTAAGGAGATAAAGTGATAAGTAGGAAATTATGTCCCGCTAAGGAGATAAAGTGATAAGTAGGATATTATGTCCCGCTAAGGAGATAAAGTGATAAGTAGGATATTATGTCAAGGAGATAAAGTGATAATTAGGATATTATGTCAAGGAGATAAAGTGATAAGTAGGATATTATGTCTTGGTAAGGAGATAAAGTGATAATTAGGATATTATGTCAAGGAGATAAAGTGATAATTAGGATATTATGTCAAGGAGATAAAGTGATAATTAGGATATTATGTCAAGGAGATAAAGTGATAATTAGGATATTATGTCAAGGAGATAAAGTGATAATTAGGATATTATGTCAAGGAGATAAAGTGATAATTAGGATATTATGTCAAGGAGATAAAGTGATAATTAGGATATTATGTCAAGGAGATAAAGTGATAATTAGGATATTATGTATTGGTAAGGAGATAAAGTGATAAGTAGGATATTATGTGTTGGTTAGGAGATAAAGTGATAAGTAGGATATTATGTCAAGGAGATAAAGTGATAACTAGCATATTTTGTCCCGGTTAAAAATAGGTAAATAATCTCAAATAATGAACCCATTAGACAGCTGCATGTACACCAAACTAAAGATTGCAGGTGATGAAGGCCTAATTCACGCAGATC